TACTACAGGGCGTACAGACCCATAGCCTATGATTTTCTCCCTTTTTAGGATTCGAGCAACCTAACTTTGCTTGGACTCAAATCTAAGGCTAAAACCATAACTCAAACATTTGTCAGACCCTTCTGGCCACACACCAATTTACTAAGTTGTTCTCATTTAGTCTAATTAACTCGAGTTAAATTTTTTGGATATTACATTCTCTGAGGAGACTAGCTTAAAGATAATGACACCACAAGAATTCAACAATGGGAGACATCATGGTTTGAAAGTGAGTATAGTGGTTTTTGGGTGGGTTGTTTCTCACAATTGATGAACTTGGATAGTCCATTCACATAAATAGAGCCTTATTTAATTTAATAGCTAATGATATCAATCAAAAGTATCAAGAGGTTATAAGGAAGGTGTTAATTATGTATATCATTGTTATTTGTCACTTGTTGCAAAGCTTGCCCCCAATACCGCTGCCAACGATAATGACTTGGATTTGAAACAAAGAAAGAAAGAAAAAAAAAAGAAAGGGAGAGAGAAAGAGGAAGAAAGGAGACCCACAAGAATGATCAAGGAAAACCCAACTGTAGACACATAGAAGGACATCTTTGCTCATCAAACAAATACTTTAAGAGAAAAATTGCCTTAATTATTAGTTCAGAGCGTCTAATACTCTCAAAAAATAAACATGATAAAATTAACATCAACCCTATTATTTAATAAATACTTATTTTATCTTTCTTTTGCTGGCACTGAATTTTTTTTTGTTTATCATCTCAATCATATTCAAGGCTTTTTATATGCTGATTAATACGAAGGATTATTTATCTTCACATCAAACAACCATGTGACAGATCAAATTCATCAAATCCACTGCCATAGAGGCGTGTGTTCTTTTCATTTTTCTAGCGCTTTTGACCAACTTTTGTTTGTTCCCAATGTCTAATCTCATGTTTGTCCAGAAAAAATAGCAGTAATAAGAAAATAAAATAGTGAAAACTTCTTTACTGCATTCCTAATAAATTGGAGCACCAACATTTTTTTAACAAAAAACAATATTCCTTTATTTTTTAAAAAATATCGACATCCTCACAGCTACAGCAGGCGCAGTCCCAGCCCCAGCAGAAACTGTTTTCAATAGAATACTGGGAAACGAGAGAAATGAGGCCTTAACAGGGTATTTTTATTTTCAGTATTCAATGGCTTTTGCAAACAGCAACGTCAAGAGCACGGATATTCTACAACTCGGAGCAGTGTCACAACTTTGGCCACTGCACAGGACTTTGGAATCAACGGCATAGACAATGCAGACACAAACTGCGACTAATCTTTATATAAACGAAATCCAGCATGCTAAAGAGCTCAACAGCTTCCGTAATGCCAACACACATAACATGAAATAAAGATGTGATGGAATGGCAAGAGATAAATATCTGAAAAGTTCACTTTTGAAACCCACTAAACTGATATTGCTGGCCGCTCAAACTAGCGAACATGTCGTCCCCACCAGCCGGCTGTGAAGGAGTGAATCCAGACATACCAAGACCGGATCCAGATCCCATAGCTCTTCCCATATAATATGATTGTGGAGGACCTTTTTCCTTTTCATCTGATCCATCACTCAATCCGCCCACAATCCCAACATCAGTTAGGGATACTTTCTTGGCTGCAAAACAACACAAAATTTACGTCATTGACATGCGAGGAAAAAGGAGTGGATTGAACGTGATAAGCAGGGGATTTAATTTCCTCCTTGGTTGTGCATGTTCTATTTTCATTCCAAAAAAATTAAAGGAAAAGGGGGGAAAGAAAGTGCAAAGGAAGACAGAAAAAAGGCTTTTAGATAGCACATCATTCGTGAAAGCACAAATAAACAAGTCCACACAAACAGAATGGGGCAAGGGGGGAGTGGATGAACGCACAAGTAGTCCACCAAATATCTTACCCACAAAATGTACTCTCACAAAAATATACGAGAATCTAATACCTTAATCATTCACTGAGACACGTGCTATCGTGACCTAAAAGGCTGAAGCCCTGACACACACAGGTTCGATCTTTACCCAACCCCTTAGTTCACTCAGTCCATCCCAAGGCCTTGCATCTCCGTTGTAACAAAAAGTAGATAAAGAAGCTGAAACCATGAGAACTAGATACACGAGCTCAATTCCTATCCTGCCTCTTTCTCCACTCTCTATTCCAATCTCTAGTCTTGTCTGATTGTCTCCTTTGCTACAGCAAAGAAGGCCGAAACCCTTTGGAAGATAGATACTACTCCATTAAAAACTTATTAAGGAGGTCAAGATAACAAACTTACAAGCAGATATATTGAGATCAATCAACCCACGGCTCAGCGAATCAGCCCAGATACCAGACTTCACCTGGAAAGCATCCTTTTTAGGTGGAATTTTAGACTCTGCAAAGGGTTTACCATTCATTTTATCTTGGCTGCCGCCGCTGATAGGAACTTTGGAGGACTGTTCAGATACTGAATCAGAACGAGAAGTAAATTCACCAAAAAGATCAGATCCATCAAAATTATTAAGAGGAACGGCAGCAAAAGGATCAACAGTGCTATTATTTTTAAAAGCAGGGCTTTGTAACTTGCTGTCCGGTTGAACAACTGGGTCAGAAACACAAAGCAAGTCAACTGTTGCAGTAACTGAGGGTGCACCAGCCGGTTGGGAAGCAAACAGATCAACCTCGTTCTGTACAAACAATCACCAGCAAATAAAAGGAAGGAAAATTCCTTGACACTGATAGGAAGAACTTAACACTGAAGGAACAAACATGAAGAAAGAAAGCAATCACAGGGGAAAAATTCACAATTTAAAACTTAAAAGACTACTAATTGCAATAATCAATATTAACTTGTACTCCTCTCATAATAAATTGCACATCACTCTATCAACTGTGAGCAGTGTCACTCACTCCAACAGTTAGGCCCCCTTCCAGACCATTTTAGCATACTTTTGCATGTTTCCACCAGAATGATACCCTTCAGTATGTAATGATATGTAAAATGAAACTGACATCGTTATTCATATCAAGAAACTGACATGACAGACATGCAATGAAATTAGGCAATCTGTCTAGTTGAGTGATATGCTAGAGTAAATGGCAACACTTTCCCCTTTTGGTCCATCAATGATTATGGAGGGGAAGGGTTTAGAGCTCAGGGTCCATCCCTGCTATTAGTAGATATTTGTGCCCCTGAAACAGTAGGCCATTGGACAAAGATACTGAACTGCAACATTAAAATTAGAGGTATAACATCTAACCTGTGATTGAGAACTAGCGCCTTGGTCCACATGAGGCTCTGCTGATACAAATGCTGCATCAGCAAAGAGATCAATTTCTGACACACTGCTTGCTGCAGGCTTTCCAGCGGGGACAGAAGTTGGAGGAGCATCCAGGAGGTCACCAATCAGATCTTGTCCAAAAAGATCCACCTGATTAGAGCTTCCAGCTGAAACCTCTGTTGGGGAAAAATGAAACAAAATAATACATAAATAAACCACCTCAGGATGAGGTAAATGAATCCTGCAAACAGATATACAAACACTGCAAAATTATAGCACATGCAGCCATGCCCGCCTGGATAAAATGTTGGAAGAAATGTGTTCAAGATGCACCAGAAAGAATAACAAAAATGTGAGCTGCAGTGAATTCAACCAAAATTTGAATCACAAGAAACATTTGTCTATGAAGTGATCTAAGGAAATCAGCAACCATACTTACTAGCAGATGTTCCTCTTGGATCAAAATCATCAAAATCGTCATCATCGTTGTTCACCTTTGAACTTGAACTTTGAGAGTGAGCTGAACTTATATTACTAGATGACTTGGGTACTCTTGATGGCACACTATCCTTATTTTGGCTGCAAGGCAAATATTCTCAAAGAATAAGTTTTAAGAAAGTAAAATGCAGCTGCTCATTGATTAAGGAAAAGAACTAAAGAAGTGAAATGTTCAAAGGCTTTAAAGTGGTGGACGTAAATCCTGTCAGTATGAGGTTTGTTATACTATGCATTAGCAACATCTCTTTATAGGCTACTAAAGAACGCTAGCAAGTAGCAATCAAAGGTAAAAGGCGCCCAAAGGCATCAGACCTGGAAAACACCTTTGGTAAGAGGCGCTAAAAGACAAAATAAAATTTATAGTAAAAAACATACACGCATATATATATAAATGTAGTTTGAAATAACCATTCACGTAAATTCTCATGTCGCTCATCAGCTATTAACAAAAGATAAATTGCACTACTCAAGTTCAAAAAATTCTTTGAAGACTCAAAAGAACAATTTAAACACCACTCGCTCAGAAACTAAAATTACCTAGATGACAGGACACAAGGTCTAGCAAGGGTTAAACACCAAATGCATAATTTTCTACAAAGCACAACACATGCAGGTCATGCCCCACCTGATAGTGCGTGTACCCTTCTTGTAGGAGCTTTCTTGTTTGTCACTTGAGTGCCCATGGCTTGATTTTGCAGGGTTGTAATTCTCAGTTTTTTCTTCTTCATAGTAAGCCTTGTCTCTATAACTATCCCTATGCCTGTCACTGTCACTTGAACCAAAACCTCCATATTTATCACTGCTATGGCTTTGATAGCTACCAGTGCTAAATGAGGCTGACCCAGACTTGTATGTAATTCCGGTAGAAGAAAGTCCGAAGTACCTAACCAAGCAACAAAAACAATTTACTTTACTGATAATCAAACTAACAATAGCATGCTGATATAGATAACCTTGTATCAACAGGATTAAAGTACTGGAAAATTTCATTAACTTGTCACGGTTTGCAGCAGCCTTATTTCTGACCTCTTGTATCTTCTCTCTATTATTCAGAAGGACTACAACGTTTTCTGCTTTCTTCCTGACATTGAGTCCCACATCTTTTCCACTGGGCTCAACATATTCAAAACTAGAAAGTGCCTTCAGCAATACAAAGTTATGTGAGATAGTGACATATAATCAACCTTTACCAATACAAAGTCATGTGAGATAGTGACATATAATCAATGTCGCTGAAAATTACTGGGAAAATTAGCTGATGTCTAGATAATAGTCCTTACAGAGATTTGAAAAGTATGTTCCACAATGTCATCGACAGCACGTTCAGATCCATGTGCCACCAAATACTCTATAACAGCTAGTGCCTAAAAAAGAAGTAGCTTCAGGCATTGAAACATAGAGAAGTAGCATGTGATATGAACAGACTTAGTAAATAAAGGGTTCCCCCAGTACTTTATAATTTTAAGCAATGGTACAATTATGTGGCAAATGTTACCTTATATACATAACGCCAATCCTTTCCAGTCTCACCCAATCTTGTCCAAAGGACATTCATGACCATTTGACATTCAGTACTGAAAAGTATAGCAAAATAAATCAACTAAAATAGCAAGCAACTTTCACCAAAGAAGAAACACTCCTTCTTGAAAAAGAAATATAAGTAGAAAAAAATCAAAAGCGTACAATTTTTTGGTAGCCTGTGCAATCTCAGCGAGAGCAGAACCATGAGGACCCCAGGGCTCATTATCAGTAGCATCCAAAACCTAGATTATGAGTGGTGAACAAAAAATCAATCAATAATACAAATAAAACTGAAATAATAACGGCCGATTTGTAATTCATATACTTGGACAATTCTGGGCATAGCCTCAGTTGAGTCTGGTGACAGAAATTGAGGGCCAAAAGCCACCATTTATCCTATAATAAATCTACTTGCGATACGAAATCTAATCATCATACTATTACATCTCCATCAAAGAATAACGATTACTCAATCTGGGCATGGCCTATAGGTATACATAATATGGGAAGGGAATATACATTAGAGGGCTTTCGTTTTCGAGGTAATAACATTGCGGTAAACTGTGGGACTTAGACGACATTTGAAATTCACCACTAACTTAAGAACAAACATTTTCCAATTCCATGATGAAGATCGATACTACCAGCAACTCGCGAAAGTTCTTCAATCTTCCCACTTTCCCCAACGGAGGGAGGGGAGGAGAAGAAAATTTCACAAGCATTCCATCCTAAAACCGGCATTAATAAAATTGAGGAAGTATATCGTAAAAGTAGAATGTGATTTTAAAAATTGAAAAGGTGGGGAAACAATCCACCAGCGCTCTATGGGCTGGGACATGCAAAATTTACAATTAAAAGTTAGATTTAAATACTTGCCAGTTTTTTTTTTTTTTACCTTCTGTTCGATTTCGGGAACTTTGAGTACCTTCAGATTCACCTCTCTCTTTCTGTTGCAAATTGAAATAGAGATTAGAAATCGCAGCAGACCAGAAAGGGAGAATAAAAATCAGCCAACCAAGGAAAACAGGAGCTCACATTTCTCGAACAGTTTGATCGAAGACCTTCATGAAATCCATGGTGGATCCGGAAAGATTATTTCGAAAAGACGCAGATCAAAGAGAACAGGATGTCGTGGATCTGATATGCTTCAGAAGGGTGGACGTATGATTGTAAGAAATTCGATGCCTTTTGAGTCAGAACAATAGAGGTCTTCGCTGGATTAGATCGGAAAGAAAGCGTTTGCAGAGGAAAACGGAGAAGGAAGGCGAGGTTGTATTTCGCGTTCGGGGCTTGGAGGCATTGGCCACTCATCCAAGTCCTGCCCTTCGTTTTTCCCCCTTCCCTTCTTTACTTTGAAATTTTTTATGAACGTTTTTAACTTAATTTTTACTGTTTGCCCTCGTTGTCGTCCCTTGCGTGGTAGGAGTAGTAATGTACGATAAACAATTAAAAAATATCAAAATATTAAAAGATATTTATCTAAATATTATATTAAAAATCATCCAGACCAAAAATAATTTTGTAGTTGGAAGTTTTTTTTTATTCAATAAAAAATAAAACCACTAGGTAAACCATTTTAGCTTTTTTTATTAATATTCATTATTAATTGTAAGAATATTTATTTTTTCTATTTTCTTTACTTTTCTTATACAATTCATTCAAATATAGGATAGATAACCATATATTATTGTCAATGCTCCTCTGGCACTCGATGAGTTTGATAAAATCTTTGAGTACATGCAATGATGTTGAAGACATACTCAACAGTGAATTCATCATATTAATAATAATACTAGGTATGCATTAAGTTTCCACCTTCTTCCAGTAGTACCATCCTGTTTCTTTATAAAAAAGTGTTACGATATGATTTCTTATTGTTTATTTTAGACTAACATAACAGAGGAGTTATACGGACTAATGATTAATTCTTGTTTATAATACTCTTATTGCATCGATTATAGAGGTAGGGTTGCTCAAGGCCAACGCATGTAATGAGAAGGGTTGTATTGAGTAAAAATTGATGAGTTTAAAAAGGATGATGATGAGTGTGGCATATAATAAAACTCAAATTGAGTAGGATGGGAAAGGCGAAGGGGATGATGATGACAATAAGGCTGGCATATAATGAGATTGATTAAAATTTTGAGGCTCTTATTCCCTTATATTTTCATTTTCAATTGGTGATTAAGTAAATAAGTAGTTATCACATCATTTGCTTAGCCTATCTTAAGGAATTTATGGGCAAGGCAATTCAACTCTTAATGGAATAAGAGAAAGCTGAGGTCCCTATTAAATCATTATTCTCTTATTAAAAATAAGATGTTGCATTAGTCTTGAGCAACCTTATCTCGATAATCAATGCAGTGATAGCATTTTAAAAGAGAACTAATCATTAGCCTGTATAACTTATTTGCTTTATAGGCCTAAAATAAACAATAAGATACTAGATTATAACACTTTTTTATAAAGAACAAAAACGGTACTAGTAGAAGAAGGTGAGAACTTACCACACACACACCTAATGTCATTACCAATACAATGGATCCATTGTTGAGTATGTCTCTAATATCATTACACGTACTTAAACGTTCTATCAAACTCATTGAGTGTTGAAGGGTCATTAACAATAGTAAGCAACCATCTATCCCATGTTTGAATGAATCATGTGGGAAAAGCAAGGCAAGCTCTTGTAGTTGACAATGAATAAAATGTCACGTCAATCAAAAAAGCTAAAATTGTTCACCTAGTGAATGACTTCACTTTTTAGGGAACAGAAAAATAATTTTTAATTTTTGGTGTAGTATTTGGGTAAATATTTTTCACGGTTTAGCATTTTGATAATTTCTTTTATTGTTTATCATGTATTGGTAAACAAAACTAATGCTATATTATAATAATGTCTAATCTTCAATTAATAAAATACTAAGTAGTTTTTTTTATAAATATATGTATTCAAAATAAATCTAAATAAAAACTAGGTTTATTGTCATATCTAATATGAAAAATGTTAAACCATATGTTTTGATATTTACAAAATTAAGAGAAGAGGTATTTATTTGTTGCATGGATATCAAGATTCATTAAAGTGACAAAGCCTCCAAAAACATGAAGAATCAAGAGAAGAATAAGTTATGCTTGTTTAATTATTTATTTCTTTTAGATTCAATGTGAAAGTTATGAGAACTTAATCATATGTCATTGATTTAATGTGAATGCATTATTTTAAAATTAACTTTAGGCTCACAGGTCTCTTAGTCTTAAACATCATTCATTTAGAGTGCACTTGTGTTTATTTTCCATTTCAAGCTTGATTCAAGATGATCCATGCTTTAGATGATCATTTTTGTGCATATTAGGACTTATCTTATTTGATTCAAGCTTGAAGGTAAAGTGAATCACACTTAAATTGGACCATAAAAGTTAAGCATTATACTGCATTACGTTTTAAGCTCGAATCAGAATTGATTCACGCTTGATTTGTTATATTGGGCATACCACATGATGTTTCAAGCCCGAATCAAAAATGATCCACACTTGATTTGTCATCTATGCATGTGAGACGCCTTGGTGAAGCTTTTATGTGCTAATCCACACTTAAGTTGTCATATAGTATTAGGTTGCATTAAGGAGTGATGATTCACGCCTGAAATGAAAATTTTCATGCTTGATTTGCCACCTTTATATGTGAGATGTCTTGGTGAAGCTTTTGTGCTCCAATCCATGCTTAAATTGTCATGTAGCATCAAATTGCATTTAGAGGGAGTGATGATCCATGCTTGGAAGGAAATTTCTATGCTTGATTTGTCACATGATCACTTGAACTCGAGTCTGATATAAAAAAGCCTAAAACCAATCAAGCCAATTAAAGCTTGATTTGTAATGTACTCAATCATGATTTGCCATCTGAAGAAGCTAAATGTTTCTATCATTCAATTCACACTTGAATGCACTAAGGCTTTACGCACGATTTATCACATAACTGAAGAGTAAGAACATCTTATGACAATCCACCCTTGAAGGGCTTGAGGTTTTAAGCGTGGTTTGTCATCTAGAATGTCTTTGCTTTTTGCCGCCATTTCATGTGTAAGAAGAAGAGGAATCCATGCTTAATTTGTCATGAAAAATAGTTTGAACTTTACTCTATATAAATCATGCATAAATCATCATATATCCAAGCCTGAATTGTCATGTGTGCAATATTAAAACCTAGCCATACTCCATTTCATGCATGAATCATCTTGGTTCCACGCTTAAGATGTCACTAACAGTTATTTTCATTGTTCCAATTATCTGAACTTTACCAAGCTATATATATGACTCCATTTAAGTTTAGAATGCAAATTTTGATCTATCCAGTGAGATATTATAAGTCTGAACATTTTTGAAAACATTCTTCTGTGTGTTAAAGATGTTGCATTCATTCTTATAATAACTCTTTTAACAAATTTGTGAAAAAAACTCTCATTAATTCTTAAGCTTTCATTGTATTTCATCTACTCCTTGTAGAGAGTTATTTCTTAAGATATTTTTACATCATAACTAAGTTAAAATATTAGAAAGAGATTTTTCAAGGAAGTTGTGATAACTTATTAATTGTAGTAAGTATTGTTATTGAAACAAAACTAATCAAGTCTTAAAAGTTATATTGAAGTTGCAAGCACCGATTAAAGCTTATAATTATAGTTAAAGAAAATCTAAGGGTGTTTTTTGAGGTCCGAATGTAGACCAAGTTGTTGCATTGACCCAGGATGAATCTATTGTGTCAAAGCTTTTCTTTCATGAATCTTTTGTTATTCACTTCCATCTTTCTTGGTTGCATTTGCTTGGGTATATAAATCTAAAAAAAATTAATATTACCCAATTCACCTCCTCTTAAGTGCCAACTATATCCAACAAAAAATATTGTGAATACTAACAAAAATAATGTGTATAGATTGACTGGTTAGGTTAAAGGAAGACTTCTACAATCAATCTAAGAGATAGTAGATCTTGTAGCTTAAATGAATGATTAGAAATTTAAATGTTAACCCCGTGCAACTTAGTTGAATTCATGATATCTTAAAAAAGATAACATATACTTTTTACTAATGATGCTTTTTAGGGTGGGCAAATAATCCTTATGAACTTAAGGAAAATTTATCAATAGGTATAATAAGGTTAGAAATTGTAAAAAAATTTTAACAAATGATTTACGTGGGTTAAAAATTATAGAGGTGGTGAGGGCAAATATTTAGAATTTGTTATACTAATCTTGTCTTTAACTCGATGTTAGTGGAGCTCTTGGAGCCGTTGTCTCTTCTTTCAGGAAGCCTAAGAGCAAAGGCAAGCCATCTAAGTTGGCAAATAAAATTCACAATGTCAAAAATTTAGAACAAGAGCTTACTATGTCAATTGCGAGAAATATCTGTTTGCTTCCCATCTAAGCACAAAGGCCGGTTATAAATGACTGGGCCTTCCTCTTTTGTGAACCCTCCTTGTTTAATGTCCATCCTAATATATTTAAGCCGCTATAAACAACAACGCTTGTTGCACCACCTGAGATATGCAATTTTTGACATGTTTGCTAAACATTAAAACACCATTTGCTTGAACTAAAATGGTAAGTTGTGATTGATTTTTAGAGAAATTCATTAGTGGGGCAAAGAAAGTCAGAGTTCCTACTTAATACAGGGAAGTTTCACAAACTTGAAACTAAAGCTTGGAAACAAATAAAAAAATAACATGCACTTAGCAAGCTACCCTTATAAGACTTGAAATTTCAACAAATTAATGGACTAGATTCATTTGCATAATAAGAAGGTAGCAACATCTGCTTGCTTGATCAAGCAAAAATTAAACTCAGAAGATGATAAAAATGAAGCTTTGTATAGAACACTAGAAACTTATTGAAGGCTATAATTGAAAAAACATGTCAGGTCGATCTTAAATGATCCTAAGCAATGCCATTGATGGGCTTGCACCTAAAGAGCTGGTCTTGAAAGGCCTATTGGCACTCCAAGATTTTAATTTGCAATACTCGACCTTAGAGTTTATAGGTTCAAAGCAACCCTGCAATTTTTGAGCCCTTTTATTTTTTTATTTTTTCTTTAAAACAAAGGTATAGAAATAAAACAAATTAAACAACAAATAATTAAATATTAATATATTAAATATCACATCATTGGTCCTATTTACAAAATCAAACCAAACAAAGCTAAATAAATATTAGTAAAATAATAATACCAAAATATTAGAAGCATCATCATTATTATCATTATCGTCTTAAGCAACCTTATCATCTTTGATATTAATGATATTTTATTGTACTTTATTCTTTGAATTGTCTTTACAATGACAAGAGCATCAAGATTTTTTTTTTCCATGAGGTTTTCTTTTTTATTTTTGAAATTTCAACCTTCTCATTTATTAAGTATTAATAATTATATATATATAAGCAGGCTTGCCCACAACCCTAAAGGGTATCTCATTTATTCAAGCCCACTAGTCTAGCTAGATTAAGTCCAAATAAATATTGTAAAATGATAGAGCTAGTAATATGAGTCAACTCGCAACCTACGAGCTAGCCCGCAGCAAATTGTGGGCTTGGTAGGATGGGTTGATATAACCTATATCTCGTGCGGGTTGTATTTCTACCAACTTATAGTGAGTTGGCAGGTTAACCTGTCAATAAAAAAATATAGATTGTTTTAATTTTAAAAATTATAAATTCAGCATAACGTTTGAAGTTTTATGTATCATTAATTACTAGCATTACACAATTAAACATATAAACATAATTAACATGTAGAGGTATAGAAAGTAAAATTAAATTTGATATTAACTTGAGTAAAAGTTAGCAAGCTAACATTTTTTTTTACGTTAGCTAAGAAATTCTAAATTCATTAAAGTAAAATGTAATGATTAAAGTAAAATGTAATGACTAAGATAATATAAGGAAAAATAAAATTAGAATTTATCCACAGCTTGACAACATAGTAATTCATAATTCAAAAGCTGTTGAATAGAAATTGAAGGTTGATATATAGATCATTTTAAATGACTCTGAAAATAATTCATATAGTACCCAGGGCGGCACTACTTCAAATGAAAGCATAATGATAAAGAGTTTGAACCCCACATAACCTTAAAAAAAAGGTGGTTGTATTGCTTGTGCCAAATTAAAATATTTTACTCAAATTAAATTGTGAAAAAGTCTTTGGCTTGATGCATGCTACATTGATGCATTTGAATGGTTATGGATTTATGACTATCTCAGCTAATCAAATATGATGTGTAACAATAGCAATTGATAATAAGCATGTAATTTAAATTATTTTAATAATTTGAATAATGATGGTTTGAACATGGAGAGAACGATCATGCAATTTTTGTCTTTTTTTTTCTAAATAAGTAGGCCAACTCATTACGAGCTTAGGTTATATGAGGTGGGCCAAAATTATCCCGCATAGAAATAAACTTATTTTTCTCAACCCAACACACATTGTGGGTTAGTGGGTTGAGCTTGTAAGCTCAACCTATATTATTAGCTTTATAAAATACAAGCCTGATCCTCTATTTAAATGAGTTTAAACAAGACAGCTGGGCTCGTCTCCCCTGGCCCTGTTGAAGACCATGCAAGTGATCATCATTTCATTCCCTCTGACTGCAGGCCGTGGCCCCAATTTCCCGTGAAGAACCCATGCATTCTATGAACCCTTAAGGCTCGATTCGTATTGAAAAGGCATGGATGAAACATGGGCTCAAGGCCCCTCCTTCACATGGCCCAGAAGAAGGGACTTGGCTGGACTGCCCGTTTGCGATCGAATAAGCCATCTGACTTAATTTTGATGCGTCCCCCAGCACGTGGCGGCCTCAGGGTGCTGTTGCATAAATGAATTTATTGTGTCTTCGTTATCACGTTTTGGTAGAGAGGGGGTGATCCCAGACGTGTCTTTAGATTATCAACTAGATCATTGTTTTATCTATATTTTTTATATCCACAAATTTTAGGAGAAGCCAAATAATTTTAGAAACAGTGCTCATTTATCTTTTAAAATGTTTATTTCTCATTTTTATTATCGTCTTTAGATCACAGTCAAAAAAAAAAAAAAACACAGCACAAAGAAAAACTACACCTGATAATTCAGATATTAAAAATTAAAGAAATAAACGTTAATTATTATAATTAAGTAGTTGAAAAAAAATAGAAATTTTAAATTCTAGATATATATTTTGTAAAAATCATGCAAATTTGTCAACAGTGCGACCCCCTCCACTGGGTTGCATGCGAATGCCACATCTATATTTTTTTGTAACTAGATACATTTTATTACCTATTACAATACTTATAAGGCTTGTGATAAGTTATATTATTTAATAGTGCAATTTGCTTTGTAATCCCCGATGGGATGCTTCAATTTCATGGTAAAAGCTCATTAAAAAAAAATCATGAAAATAATTCTACCTTGTAAATTTTAAACAAGGCATTCATAGATTTTTTCGGCCAGAAACGGCATTCACACTTCATATCATGGTTCTCCAAAAGTCTATAATTTATATATTCGAAAATGAGATCGGGGACACGAATTAAAATATTCAAACCTTAAAGTCGTTGAATAATTTGACCCACAGCAATGCCAGAGTCCACGAGGCAGTTGCAGTTAACTGTGAATCCGGGGACAAGTGTCGGGCTTGTAGTTGTCCCATGCTTTCTTTAAGAGGATACTTATCCTTACCACCAATTAATGCCCTGACTTTACTTTTACTTTTGTCATGCATTCCATGATATTAGGCATTTGCTTTCTTTCAAAGGACCCCACCAAAGATGTCGCTGCATCCTCCACCACAAGCTATCCCTTTCATCTTTGCCCGATCTCTCCAGGATATTATCCCCTCCTATCTCTGTCTCTTGTGAATCTTGACGATGCACTCCCGCCCCACGCGGCAACTCATCAGTCAAGTTCCCAGATAATCACCCCCTGCTCCTTCTCTTCACCTGCCACGTTTCGGATAGCTCCATTTATTTAAACCAACCTTTAATCATTTCCATTGTTATTCACCCGTACTTCATTATTATTTTTTTGGTCGGGTAAATGCTTCTCCGGTTATTTCTGCTCAGCGTTTCTGCTTCCTTTTTCATCGTGTACAAAGAAAACGGAAAGAATATTTGTGGTTTACGAATTGCTAATGGTTGTTTACGTACTTTGACGTACCTAAATAAATAATTTTCATGGGCTTTAACATATACCTCAAACTAGAGCCGGTAATTTGGGCCGAGTCCGACGGGCTAGCCCGAATTAGCCCGAAAAATTTTAGGACCGGGCTTTAAAAAAAAGATATTTTTTTATGTTCGGGCCTATTCGGGCCGGCCCGAATAGGCCCGAAAAAATTCGGGCCAAGCCTGATTCAGGTTCGGGCTTGGCCCGAATACCCGAGTAATTTTTTTTATTTTTAAAAATATATAATATATAATAAATATTAATTAATTCTTTAATTTTTAGGTCATTTTATATTAAAATATCATATATTTGAGTCCTAAACATCATTTAAGTATTAAAAATATATATTTTATATTTTTTTATAAAATAAAATAATTAATTTTAAAGTAAAAAAATTAATTAAAAATAATTTTAAAAATAAAATTCGGGTATTCGGGCCGCCCGAAGCCCGAAGGAATTCGGGCCGGACTTAATCATTCGGGCTTTTTAAAAAACGGACCTATTCGGGTTCGGGCCTGTTCGGGCCGGGCTTATTCGGGCCGCCCGAATTCCCAGCTCTACCTCAAACAATGCTTCATACAGTAATAATTTTGCTTAAGAGGGAGGAGGAGAAGAGTGGCCCGACATCCTAACGAGTGGACAACCTAACTTAAAGAAATGGATAAGGCGTTCACAGCATTAAAAAAAAAAAAAAAAAGGATCCACATGAAGTCCCGAACGAGGCTAAGATCAGAGCTCCAAGACAAAGCCTCACTTTTCAGTTTTCCCTCAGCAGATAACGATTAATCAAACACTCATTCGATCGCGGGTAAAACAAAAATGGCTTTCTTCTTCCCTTGGGCTTTTTGTTACACTTATAACTAGCGGGTAGCACTGATTTGCATGTAAAAGCAGAGAGAAAATCACATAAATTTAGACAGAAAATGCAAATTACATAAAGAGCAACTGTGCAACCGATAAAGGTGCCCTAGGACTGCACAAAAGACAGGACGGTACTGGACTTCACCCTAACCCGAAGTCCGGTCTCTTTCATGAAAAAGACTAGGTTAGGCAACCCGTAGTCTAGTCTTGTCCAGTGATAACCCGAAGATTAACAGGACCGGACTTGGTCCATAGGACTGGGAGACTGGTCCTGTCAGTCCAGTACTCACTTAGCTTTTTTTCCTTCTTTTTATTCTATGAGAGGCAATAATCCATTCCAACATAATAAACTCAATTAAGATAGTAAAAACACTTATAATAATAATAAATCCATAATAATTTCTAACAATAAGAAAAAAAATATTTCTGTTATAGTCTAAATTATTTAAATTTATAACTTTAACAAAAACAGTACTCAACAAAATTCAACAACACTATATTACAATAATAATTTAGAAACAAACTTAATAAATCTTTATACAATCATCTCCTTAGCATCAATTACACTTTAAACATTTATCAAAAATAAATTAATTATAATTATAATAAAAAAATTAATAGGACTGGACTGGACCTAGTGGTCCGGATGCCTGGTCTCTTGTCCAGTCCAACCCGAAAAAATAGTCTGGTCTTTTTAGTCTTTTTGGTCCTGAAAGACTAGTGACTATACAGACCGAACAAGACTGAGACCATCTCGGGTTGGACTGGACCAAACAGGACTGGAAGACTTTTGCACAGGCCTAAGGTGCCCAATGAAATGCCAACTAAGAAATCCAGAGCTAGAGGTCAATCCTATATACATATCAATCATGAAATTACAGATATATATCAACAACCTCTTCCATCTCGACAACGTACGGGGAGAATTTTATTATACTTGAAACTTAGCTATTCACAGAAAAGAAAACTCCATCGTCGCCGACTTCGAATGCTCGTTGGGAATGGAAGAAAAATTTCAGGGCACATATATAATAATTAACAAGTATTTCCAAGATTGAACTTCACTTCACCAGTTCGGAGACCCATCCGAAATCAGGAACCGGAAGAGGCGCGTCGCTTCGCCCATATGAGTTTTCATTGCTGAGTTTGGCATAAATTTTGGCCCTGAGGTCTTTTCCAGATTCCACCCTCTCCACGGGAGCGTAGTCTTCGGCACTGTTAGCCCAGAGGTGCGCTGAACCGGGTCCGGACTTATCAGCTCTTGCCCACGTTCGGGTTGACTGAAGGCTGAAAAACCCAGGTCGCAGAATTGACCCACGGGGAGAGCAAAAACCAGAAACCATCCCGTTTGAATCAAGTTGAACATTACGCATTGAAGTTACCACTTCACTCATCGCGTTGGATGTTTTACCGCCATATTGGGAATTGCCCGGCGACGAGGGTGAGGTGTCAGGTAGCGATAAGGTAACTGGGACTGAAGGTGGCGACGAGATAAACGAAGTGCTGCTGGAGGAGGGATCCAGAGAGCGACGAATCGGCGACAGCGCCGATGCTTCGCCCAAGCCCCGAGTGAGGATGCGCAATTGATCGGGAGTGTGGGCAAAGAAACAGACTCGACGGCGACAATTGGTTGCATCTTTGCAGAGTTGAGTTCTATAGCGAGAAGGATGAAGCCAGCATTCGAAGACTCCGTGAGCGAAATCACAGGAATCACCTTTCTTGCAATTTGCAAGGCGGAAGTCAGGGCAAGGAGTGGCGGAGTATTGGAATTTGCGAGGGTCCCTGCGGCGAGCCTTCTCGCCGGGGTGGGCAAACGGACAGCGGGTCCAGTCGTGTGACCTACCGCCACGTGGACACTTGCGGATCTTGAACTCGAACATGCGAAACTGATCGGTGGAGAAAGCATCGAAGGGTATGCCGAAGTCTTCAGCGAGCGAGTGCAGTTCTGTGAGGGTAGAATCATTGGAAAGAAGGGGGTGGTGATGGAGGAGGACGGAGGAGTCGACGGCGCCGGCATCGGTGTTGATTGGGACGGGGAATGAAGTGGGAAGAGATGGGGCTACCAGCGAATTATCGGATAGCCAGGGAGGAACTTTAAGATCAGGTCGCAGGAAGGGTGTCTGCTCTCGGATCATGATCGTTGTTTTTGAATTCGGAGAAGTAGAGTGCGCTGGTATTGGAAATGGCACGAGAAGCGTTGTGGGTGTGTGTGTCTATATATATGAACTCTGGAGGTCGAATATACTGTATATGTGTAGCTGAGATAATTAGTGCTGGTGCAGTTGGGCGATCAGCGTCGTGAGATAAAAATATCTAGAGCTCCGATCCTAGCCACGTGTCACGGACAGTCGTTGTATCAGCCTCCGAACCCGGGACAGCATGCATGGGCATTGTGCTTGTGCGAATTCTTCTTCTTCTCCTCGTTATCTTATAACAGTCTAGAACTCAAATCTTTACTTACACTCCATTCCGACCAACCCTTCGTCATTTGAGGTTCCATCATGCAGCTTTTTTTTTTTTTATTTCTTTTTTTGAATAGGAATCTTACAAATAATTTTGTAAAAACGTAAAACAATAAAAACGTGACCTTGCCATGAGGACACTGTTGATAATAACGGTTTCGCATGGCAACAATTCGGATTGCTAGACAGTTAATTATAACGCTCTCAATTTTTTCAAAATATCGAGTACTGGAATAAAAAAAAAGCCTTATTCTCTTCGCACACACATGCTTAGGTTCTATCTGGACGAGTCCTTTAATATTATAAATGGAATCGTTGTTATGATTGGAAGCAGACTAACTGGTTGAATATGTTGTCCTAGTTTATAAACACAATTGTCAACGTCAAAGAATCTCAAATGGATCAAATACTGAATTGAACGATACTCGTGGCTCTCGCAGGAGAAATCCAGTTTCACAGATGTTCATGCAATTTTTTTTTCCTTAAAAAAAGGAATACAAGTGAAGGTGGGCGTGGGGCATGTATTGTGAGAATGCATGGTAAAGTTCGCGGCTGGGCCCCAAAAAAAAAAAAAGAAAAAAGAAACAAAGAATGGATGAACAAGTAAGGGATAGAAAGGGAGTGGGAGAAAGGTAAGACTTCAGAGCAGTCCACCAAACGATAATGATCGGATAATAGTTAGCAAATCAAGCTGAAGATGGCGTCCGCACTCACTCTGAAATTATCTCTACTCCGATGATTTAAATTAAATTTTTAACATTATATTTATTAACATAGAACTTATTTAAAAAATTTAATATGAAATTTAAATTGTCTTCTATACTCATTCAGAAATGAGCACCAGAGTATTCATTATCTCTGATGAAATTTAGATTATTTAAATTTAAAATTTTTATGTTAAATTTTATTTATGAAAATAAAAAATTTTAAACGATATAAAAAATTTTAATCAATTTTTATTATCAATCCAGTCAATATGGATTTAATTTCAACAATTCAATTTAATATTATATTTTTTTATAATTTTTATAATTAGATTACCAGATGTACTTTAGATAATTCAAACATAATCTGAATAACTCAATTTAATATTAAAATAGTTTATAATTTTTATAAATTGAATGTCTATATGTACTTTAAATAGTCCAAATTTAACATCAATTTTTTTTATAATTTTTATACTAACATATACAATATTAAAATATTTTAAAATTAATTTAAAATAAAATAAAAGGCTAAAATTTGACCACTAAGCGCAGAATGCGAACGCATGAGGTGGGGTTGTCTGGGGTTTTCGAAGAGGCAACGCGCAGGGATGGATCCAAATCAAACTTCCAAACCGTATGATGTTTGGTTGGATCACGGAGGCTACAATTGGGCCGGGTCTAATGCTCTCACCTTATCCTGTTTCGGTGAGGATTATAGCAGCGCTGATGGGTTGGGGATTCAAATTTTGAGGCCGGTTGTTGCGGGGGGCCATTCTTGCTGGTCCTCCATTTACGGGTCGCATGCCTGGACAGAAATCAAACAAGTGTCGTTTCCCATTCCCAACGTGAAAGCTTGGGCGTACTCCCTCTTTTCCCAATCTATAAATCACTAGATTAATGATAATGTTTGGTTTTAAATAAAATATTTAAATTATCTCTAAGAAAACAAGAGAGATGTAAAATAATAATATATAACTTATTTATCTTACGAAAAATATGTTTAAAATTTTATGAATTCGTATTCATTATATTTTTATTATATTAATATTAATGAGATTTATAAAGAAAATTTATAAATAAAATTGGGAGCATGAAAAGTATTATGCGGAATCATGGAAGTGACAGTTCGACTTCCAGTGAAGAAAGAATACTGCCATCCCTGTTTATGCGCGTCGGAGTTCAACGCTTCACCATGCCATGTAGAGTTTTGTATTCCCGGAGTATCAGATCATATTTCTGCAGAGATGCAGATCACAGGGCCAGCCAACATCAATTCACTGACAGTCTCCACCATGAGCCAATAGTGTAAAACAGTGCGACAACGTGGCATGTATTTATGGGGAATGATGACGGGGCCCACGGGCAGTCGCGTCCAAGTGTAGCGCGGAGCCTACAGGGGCTCAGGGACTGGGGGAAAGTTTCAGAGAAGACTGATTACTCGAAAGTCGCCTTCTACAGTTCTGCACATCCAGACTCTCAATTCACCGGCTCAGACTCGCAGTCTTCATTTCCAGTAGTGGCCTGCCTTTCCCTGTTCCTCCTTCCTTTTAACCCGGGTCACCCTTTATGAAACTCAAACTTGTCGCTGAGGAACCATGGTGCTGGCACTTCTCTTCACTGCTGCTACAGTATCATCGTCGGTGCTTCTACATTTTGTTACTAAGTTTAATGTTTATGGACAACCATGATTCCCTCTAGTCCTGCATGTGCATGGATTACCTTTCATAATAAATTGATTATTTTGTAATTATTGTATGAGAGATGAATTATTAATTATTGTTGTAATTTTATTTTGTTGCAATTTTCTATGAACTAGGTAAAAGGTTGTGTGTGAAAGGGAAATTGTTTTTCTATTAAGTCGTACGCATTTAATAAGTGTAAATTAAAAAACTATTTATCAGCGGTATCAATAAATTAACCTTCTCTCCCTAATTTTGGTGAAATACTTATAATTATATTATCTATACAGTGCCGAAGTAGTTTGACGCCTTGTGAGAACTATATTATACCGCGGTCATTGTAATTTTAAACCCAATCGAATCCAAATGATAAGTATAGCTAAAAATCGGGTGAAACAAGCAAGGCTGGCTGGTGGGGAATGGGGATTGGGGTGGTATATAGACCTCTAGCCATTTGGTCAACGACATTGGCGCGGGAGATTGATTTATCTGTCGAGGGACAGGTGGCAAATTAACACATGCAAGCCACAGAGAAATACAGTGAAATATCAAAAATTTATAATTTAATATATTTTATAATTTTATTGAGAAAAATTTATAACTTTTACTCTAAACTTAAATAGAAAAAATAATTTTTTTATTTTTCAACATATTAAAATTTAAAAAATATCTTATAAATTCATCATCATGTTATTGTAAAATTGAGAGATGGATTTATAAATTTTTAAAATTTAATACTGTGAATTTAACTTAACTTAATTAATTTTTTTGAAATCTATTTATCATTTTCCCTACACTCAATCTTGCCATATCACTGAAACTTCATCGAATAATAATTGCCACGGTCAATCTCCTTTACTTAGCGTGGATTACTTCATCTGCGCAAGCTTTGATTCCTATACCACTTTGTATTTCTCATTTTCCCTCAATCTCTACTGAGCACCGATGATTGGGTATTTTACATAAATTAATGTATAATTTATGTTCTTTTATTTGCCAATTAATGTACTTGATAGAAATTTGGATAAAATATATCACTTGGTGATTTTTGGACATTTTTAGGAAAAAGAAGAGAAAATAACATGTAAAAGGCCAAAAATGTGAAATACCATGTCAAATTCCAAGAAAAAGAGCCTAAAAAGAGTCGGTTGCTTGTGAACAAGCAAAAAAGCGAGTCTCTTCGCTCATGCGTGTATTAAAGATGGAAGAAAAGGCATCGCTGGAAGCACACAGCCGCTTGTGGATATTGCATGAAGAAAATTCCACCGCGCACCGATATATCAAGCCACGTTGTTTGCCCATGCATGGAGGTGGTCGCTAACATGCCACCTATGAGATTTGATCGCACGCAGACATGAGAGGGACACAAGGCAGCATGTTATTTAAAATTTAAATGCAAAATTAAACAAAATCTTACCAAATCGAAATCAAGTAAAATAAGACAAAAATTAAAGACTGGATGAGCATGAAAAAGTTATAAAAAAAGCCCTAATAAACTTTTAAAATTATCCATGTTTATATCTAAAGGTTAGAATGCAATTTTGGAGTAACAACTAGGGACTTGGAGGTCAGATTGAAGATTGATGTGGAGCTTGTTGAGGAAATTTTTCTAGATTTTGTTTTTCTTCTACCCTGGGCTTTTGTTTCTTTATGTTGTTTGTGTACTTTTATGCATATTTACAGCCATATGTGGCTAGTATTCTTTTATTCTTCGGGATTATGTGAACCCATAATACTTTATAGGTAGATTTTTTTTCAGTGATTGATTTTGACAGGTGCTTCAATTCATAATATGTTTTATTTTATTCTTGTGCTTTTTATAGTCAACTCTAGTATTTGCATGGATAATGGAATTGGCATCTGGCAAAAGGATATCTTAATTAGATTGTTTATTGTGCAACCTATGATTGAAATTAATCTAATTTCGCTTGAGATAGATATATACTCAAGAGGCTGTGTAATATTTTAAAACTTATATATAATTAAATTAGTGCTTGCTTGAAATATCACAGTATAATTAGATTACAAATTTTGCAATTGACGGATGTATAATCTAAATTAAAGCCTTGTTTTAAAAGTTAAATTGAAACGTTATAATTAGAAGAAATTGAATTACAAGCTATGGGAGGTGATTGGAATTCTGTGGGCACTATTTAATTGCTAACCTTACGTCAAATTTATTACTTGATTTTGTTTTATTTGCATCTTTGAATTTAATAAAAACTTACATCTTTGATTGGATAACTTAATTGAGATAAAGACAACTCTCACTCGTATCTAATTCCTTTCGCTTTAGTTCTTTGTGGGTTGACGTTGATTTGCTATACCACGTCAGATCCGTACACATGCGATATGTTTAAATTTGGTGCGCATGAAGCACCCGTTGCATTAACAGATCAGTAATACAATCAAGGTATATACGCCACTTAACGAGCACGTAATATCTTGTTCTCACTTGGCAGTTCAGGGAAATCGTGATAAAAGACTCTGGGAATCCGCATGATTGTCTAATCCAATTCACATTTTTGAAAACACGCTCCTCTGCCATACCTCTGGACTGGTGGGCACGACGTTCCCATTCCCCAAAATCCAAACCAACAACATGTATCATCAATTTACTTTTGATCCAT